GGCGGCCGTGGTGCTGTCTCTGGCCCTGGGCCTGTCGGGGCGCTGGGCGCTGGCGTGGTACCGTGCGCGGCGGGCGGTCACGCTGCACTCTGCGCCCCCGGCGCTGCCCCCGGACTCCTCCAGCCCCGCGGTAGCCCCGGACCTCTTCTGGGGCACCTACCGCCCTCACGTCTACTTCGGCATGAAGACTCGCAGCCCGAAGCCCCTCCTCACGGGTAACCGGGCCCCGGGGCGGGCCAGCAGGTGGACTGTGCGCCTGGGCGCCCCGGCTTCCCGCCAGAGCAAGGGCGGGGAGGCGAGGGTCTGGAGATGTACGGAGAGGGAGGACCCCGAAGGTCTTGGAGACCCGAGGGACAGGTCCCCTGCGCTCTTTGTCTTACGTGGCCATTCTACCCCCAGGACTGATGTGGGCGCAGCAGGGGGCCACCCCGGGGACCCCTAAGCTCAGGCACACGTGTGAGCAGGGTGACGGCGTGGGTCCCTATGGCTGGGAGTTCCACGACGGCCTCTCCTTCGGGCGGCAACACATCCAGGATGGGGCCTTAAGGCTCACCACTGAGTTCGTCAAGAGGCCCGGGGGTCAGCACGGAGGGGACTGGAGCTGGAGAGTGACTGTAGAGTCTCAGGTCAGGGGCTCAGGATATCCCTCGCTCAGCCCAGACTCCCTCTGTCCGTCCCTTGCTGCCAACAAATGCAGAATGAAGAGAGGGTTAACAGCAGGGGAGACGAGTCTGGCTACCTGGTTTGAACTCTGCCTTAAACACTTGTCTGTATGACCAGCTCTCTTTACCACCTCTAAGGCTTGATTTCCTTGTTTTGAAACTGAAGATAATAGTAGCACCTAAGTCACAGGAATGTGAGAATTAGTTCCACTTTTTGGGGGGTGTGTGTGTCAGGAATCGAACTCAGGACCTTGAGCTTGCCAGATAGGCGCTGTGCCACTGAGCTATATCCCCGGCCCTAGGCATGTGAGAATTAAATGAAGTAATCTGTGTAGAATTCTTAGTGTAGGAAATAGCACAAAAATACACTGATTTCCCAGAGAAGCTTGTGCAAGCCTCTTTAGCACATACCATTGGGTGTACCTGCTCACCCTGTGTGATTCTCAGCACTGCCAATGTATCTTGCTTACCAGCTTGCTCCTGGCTGGGATCTTTCCCTAAGGCTGATTCTCAAAAAAGAGTACCAACTAATGCTGTATTTTTCTCTTATTTTTCCTCTGTTGTCCTTTGTCACCTAGGCCTCAAGTACCTCTGCCCTCCCTCTGGTCTCCCTGTTCTTCTATGTGGTGACAGACGGCCAGGAAGTCCTACTGCCAGAGGTTGGAGCCAAGGGGCAGTTGAAATTCATCGGTGGGCACACGAGTGAACTTGGTGACTTCCGCTTTACACTTTTGCCACCAACGAGCCCAGGGGACACTGCCCCAAAGTATGGCAGGTAGGCTGGGAAAGAGCTGGTGGTAGGAGCGGCATGGGGTACCAGGTGATAGGAGTGGTGTGGTCTCTCACACTGCCTTTCCACCAGTTATTTCGTCCCACCAGTCTCCCTTTCCCTGCATTGCTAAGACCGCCCATCCTGGTTCCCGACCGACCATATTTTCCTTTATAACAGTCCTGCCCTGAATATTTCCTATGTGTCCTCTTGCCTTCAAGCTACAATATCTTCTGGTCCTCCAACCCCGGACTACCCCTGCTGACAGAGATGGTGAAGAGCCGCCTCAATAGCTGGTTTCAGCATCGGCCCCCAGGGGCCCCTCCTGATCGCTACCTCGGCTTGCCAGGATCTCTGAAGTGGGAGGACAGAGGCCCAAGTGGGCAAGGGCAGTTCTTGATACAGCAGGTGACACTGAAGGTCCCCTTTTCTGTGGAGTTCGTGTATGAATCTGGCAGTGCCCAGGCAGGAGGAAATCAAGCCCTGGGGCAGCTGGCAGGCAGCCTGCTGACCCATGCCCTGGAGAGCC